ACAACCAACTGCCGCGCAGACCGGTGTTCCTGCGCGCCGGCCGTCCCTTGCCCTTGTTGTTCGTCTGCGTCTTCTGTTCCATCTGGTCGCTCCTTTCTGCATGGATGCCGCACGGCCCCGCCTGCCGTCGCGCGAGCGCCTCGTTATTACCCAGACGGGCCGAACGGGTGAATATCTCGTCCTCACGCCATATACAATCAATAGTGATTTATTTTTGCACGCCAGATGCCAGCCTTACATCATCCAAGAGAAAGGAAGGGGTGGATGTGAGATAACGATAAAGGGAATCGCAATGGAAATGGGATGGAAACGCGACTGAGCTGGCGAACGTTTTACTGAAATAGGAAGGGGCAAACGTACCTACTGGTAGCCAAACCTTGGCTTGGCTGTTCATAAACGGTAAATGTTGCGGAGTCGGTCCGGCTAGGACGCCGCACTCGACCGATTGGCTGCAGATTTGCATGCCGCTTTGGTTGAATGAGTAGTGACGGCAGTGCAGATTGACGACCGGGCTTACGGCCCTCCCGCCTGGACTTCCGCTACATTCCGGGGCTGCAGTCGGCGCCCGGCTCCGGCTCCGCCAGGCCGCGGCGGTGCAGTCTGCGCCCGCCTGGACTTCCGCTACATTCCGGAGATGCAGTCGGCGCCCGGCCCCGGCTCCGCCACGCCGCGGCGGTGCAGTCCGCGCCCGCCCGGACTTCCGCTGCATTACGGGGCTGCAATCGGCGCATGGCTCCGGCTCCGCCAGGCTGCGGCGGTGCAGTCTGCGTCCGCCTGGACTTCCTCTAGCGCGGACTTGCAGTCGGCTGTTCTTGTCATGCACTGCACTTTGGAGATGCAGTCCGCGCCATCCCACGTAGTACGCAGCGCAGCTGCGAGGGCGGGAGCGGCCCACGATGGATAGGGACACGACAGCGGGGGGAGGGGAGGGGGCGGGGATTTCGTTGTGGGAGGGGGTCAGGACACGGCGTCGCGTGGTGTCAGCTCACGTACCGTGCAGTGCCCCTCGTGACTACAGCTAGGTATTCGGTTTGGTGTTGGTGGTCGAATGCTCGGGTAGGTATATTTCAGTATTGTGTTCATATATTCAGATGCCGAACGTGAGCTGTCATATTACATATAAGCAGATAAACAGGTCAATGCTAGGCAGTCGTCCTCATGAATCTCAGGAAATTGTTCGCATAACACGTCTTTGGTCTTAACACAGAAATGTGTATGAACGGTTTCCATCGCGGTTTTTATCAAAGTTCGCTGTAGCATTGTGGTTCAGTTCATTCTATGGCATACGGACCCGGTGTTGATGGACGACGAGTCCCGTCCCGGTCGAGTCCCGTCCCGGTCGAGTCCCGTCCCGGTCGAGTCCCGTCGACCATAGAGGTCTCAAGGTGATCTGTTCATTAGATCCTTAACTATTGCTGTGCGTTCTTACGCTGTTTTGTTTTCATTGTGCTTTTTGCTGTTCGGAAAATTTGCCCGCAAATTTCGGTGTTTCAATATTCGCGGAATCTGAATATTTGTTAAAATATTCAGCTTCTCCGAATCGGGATGCTCAGCTCCGCTGCCGACACCGGCCAAGCCAGCGATGGGCAGCGCCGGAGCGTGGCCGGCGGGCACTCGTTATGCTGGCACTACAAATGCCTGAACATCTTGGGACGCGTCCAGTCTTCTGCTCCCGTCCGGCCGTCTTTGAGGCTTGAGTCAGGCGGCGGCTCTGTCACAACACGCGGCCGGCCGGCGTGGCCGCCTGCCAGGCCGCGGCGCCGCATTTCTCGCAGAGTGGCCCAGGATTAAGTACGGCCCCCAGCCGGCATCCTGCTACACCGAACCGCTTCTGGTCTGCATCAGCGAAGCCCCATTTTTCACTTCTCACATGCCGCGGGACGGGACATCACTCTCCCGCGCCATTCTTGTCTGAGCGAGGTTGAGCGGCTATTGTGCTGGGGTTGAGGGGAATGTGAGGCGGGAGAATGCCGGGCTCACATGGCGTTACCGGCAGCCGCGCCCTGCGGCTATTTAGGGGTCGGGTCAGAGAGTCAGCTGGTCGAAATCATTACCGCAGCCTACTTCTGCAATTCTTCTATGACCTGACTTCAGCAACCTTTCTGTGCCGTTTGAAGGTCCGTTTATGCCGTTTGAAGGTTATGCTGTCGTGGGCGCGATGCGAATTCTGCAGTGGCTGCTGTTGCAACATCCAGAACCCATGCTGAAACAGATAAGTGCTCAATGTGCTTTTAGTTGGTACGGAAGAGCGCCGGTGACCGCGGTTTACCCCGCGCGCCCGCGCTGTCCAAAAGAGGAGGTGTGCGCTCGCTCCCCTCCGCCTCGGTGTGGGGTCGCGTCCCAGTGACATCACGCCACTGACAGCCGAGCTGGCCCACTCGGCCGCAGAATGCCGGCTATGCTGGCGGCGTGAAGCGGGCGTCAGGGGTCGGCGTGCCGTCCCTGGCACCGCTCCGAAGCGCCGCTGTTGGCATCCGCTGCATGCTGCGTCACCCGCGGAACGGGGGAACTCCGCTCCCGTGCGCCGCTCCGGTCATTTGGGCCCCGGCCTCACATCACCGCACGAATATAGTGCTGAAGGCGAGAAGATGAAGATGTTTGAAGATGTTTGACGCTTCTGTACATCACCCCGCACTTTTCCGTAGTGCCGTCACATGGTCCCCTCTATGGCCCAGGCATTCTATGCATTTCCGTGATAGATATCCATCTTTCTTCACTGCTAACGAAGGTGAGCCTATATTAAGTTCGTGATAACTCGCAATTTGAGTTCAATTACCCAAACCCCAGCGTGCACACTGCAGCGCACCCTCTAACCAGGCCCGTCACGACTGCCTTGTTAGGCAAAGCACGCCCTAAGCGCTGGACCCTCCCCGGCCGGTCGTGTGGACGCCTAATTTCTCCCTATCAGCACCCCAGTCATTTCACTTACCCCTAGCGTGTATTTACGCGCGCAGCGTCACGCGACGCGTCCGGCCGGCCAGCTGGCCGCCGTCCGGGCCGGGCCTGACGCGGCCGCCGGTGCTGACGGCGGTGTCACGCGTGCGTGAGACACGCCTCGGCCGCGGCCTGAGCGTGCGGCGACGGGCGGCGTGGCGCTGCAGAGAACTGGCCGCGGCCATTAGCTAGTTAACCGCCGTGGGGTGCAGAGCGTGCAGGCTGTGACCGACGCAGCCGGCCGCGTGCGGGTGCCGACGAGCGTTCGAGATGGCTGGCCGATGCTGAAGGAACAACTAGCGTTATCGCTTGTGTGTTAGCGCTAGCGGTGCTTGTGAGAAGTGGCCGAGAGAGCAATTTTAATATATAATGCTTTGTCGGGGACTGAAGGTGCCCCGCAACAGAAAACGCAACCAGTGCTCATCACAGACACCGCCCTGGCTTGGATACAAGCTGTTTCCTGGAAAGCCTGTGCAACTTCCGCACTTTATTAAAACTGGTGTACTGTCGGACTACGAGGCGTTCGTGGTGCTCCGGAGACCCCGGGGCGATGTTCTGGCGGATTGTGGCGTTGACATGTCCCCATAATGTTGCGGAGAAAACCAACGTTCGATACAGCTGGGTACAGGGGGACGGATAGATGGGTGTAGAGAGAGCGGGTGCTGGATATAACAACGATGAACGGAGTGCAATCCCACTTCGAACACTCAAGTCCCACGATATGATCAAACGTTTCGTGCGAAACGCGCAGTCAAGCTCATTCAGTATCAGCCCGACCTGAAAGTAACCAAGATTAAAATGCGATGGTCCCGTGGGTCAGCTGCATTGCTCTAAATTGCATGTCCAAAAGGGCAATTTCCTTCAGGGCATGCCACGCTGTGAGGAAAACGAAAATAAATGGCCGCAACAATGGAATCTGTTCCGACATTCTTCCGTGAAACACATCGCAATGAACAGTTTTTTTTCGGTTTTCTAGCATCATCTTTGGAGACAAGTCGGTTGGTATTTGTCCCAGCTTTTTTGTTCGAATGTGTTGGAAAGGCTGTGAAACATGGAGGAAGCTATCAACAGTCAGGATCTGGAAGGCTTAGAAGACATGCATTTAAAATGTTTGTATCGATTGGTTAATTACGAACATATTTTTGGATAGTGTATATATGTATATATGTAAGTACGCACAGTGCGTCGTGCATGCTCCAATTTGGTGTGCAGCACGCATTCGCATGCGTGTTTTCCTCTTTGGACTAGCGCACGGACGTTCGGCGGTCGCGACGGCTTCAGTTCCGCACCATAGACTGTGTTTTGCTCTGACCATTTATGCGTTAAAGGAGCTGCAGCTCAAGACTTACCCAGCGGCTCGGAGCAAAGATTCGCTTCGTCTTTGCCCGCGCCTCGCTTTAAACAGCGAAATCTCTTTGCCTCCTGTTTACTAAAAAAAAAGCACTGTTGCAATGACCTGACAATGTTTTTCACTGCGATCACAATGTTTATCTGCAAATGAGGTACGCACCTGCTTGGGCATCGGCCTCTTAAACGCTACACAGCATGCCAGTTTGATCAGCGGTCATTATCAGACCTTCGATAGCACGATACTATCAACAGCCTCCAAGTCACGAAACAATGGACGGAGAATGGCAGTGATTTTATCCTCGAGCCAGACTGGAAAATATCGATATTTTTATTATCAAGCAATTTACCTGGCTGGCCAGAAGCGGAAAGTTGGGAAGGAAGTCGTGCCACCGTGCGAACCACATCGATCAGCGTCTGTCAGCGTGGTCAGCCCGAAAATATCTGGCCTTCCTGCACGGCACTCCTACCGACCGCCGCGAGGCATGCGTCATGACCCGGCTGCACTCCGAGGTCGCGGCTGCCGCGTATTGCCGCCATGATTCCACCGTCTGACCTGCCCTGCTCTCCATTCCCTCCCTGCTGACGCGTGCCTCGCTCCGTTGCAGCCGGGGGCAACACGAAGACAGTGCTGGCGGGCTCGAACCTGACGCTCTCGTGTCCGCGTCATTCGGAGGCGGTCGGCCGGGCGACGGTGACCTGGCGGTGTCGCGGCTGTGGCGGCGGCGGCGGCGGCGGCGGCGGCGGCGGCCGGGGCGCGCAGGAGCCGCTGACGGTGGCCCGCTACGGCCCGGACGGCACCATCAGCCGCTCCGAGGAGCGCGCCCGGCTCGTGCTGCCCACGTTCCAGCTGCAGATCTACCCAGTCCGCGCCGCCGACGCCGGCGTCTATGAGTGCACCGTCAACGATGCGCCTGCCACGCAGGCCGTCACCGTGGTCGTCGAAGGTGAGTGGCGGCGGCGGCGTGACCTCCAGGTGTGGCAGCATGGGGGAGGGTATGAAATGTGCCCGAGCGGTCGGCGGCCTGAACATCATGAGGGAAAATAGCCTCAGCAGTTTTAGTCATTGAGGCGATGGCTTACCATCGCCACTTGTTTGTGGCAGGAAGCTAGGGTAAGGGTAATAAGAGGTAGCCCACCTTCGGAATCATGTACATCATGTGAAGACTGGTTACAGTGTCTCTATGGTGATGCGGACGTGTTAAGATGATCGCTGAAAAGGTGTTTGCCATTGCGGAACAACTAGACAGAGTGACACTGTGTCCCACGTGCCAAGGGTGTTGACACCAGCCGCCAGCCATAAATTGTGTTTGTTGGCGTATACATTATTACATCTAAAGTGCATGGGAATAAATACCTATTGTGATATGTAAAAAGCGCAGGTTGTATTAATCTTGCGCAATACGTGATTCACCTCCACGGGTATAAAAGTGCCGGCTATCTGCCCCTTGAGGCATCTCGTGGCGTGACCGGTCACGTATAATATTGACATATCTCCACGAGAGGAATTGCCATTGGCTAACATACATGCGAACCCCGGCTTGTGAACTTGATGTGCATACCCAGCAGGAAGCTGGGGCGCGCGGGCGGCGATTCCAAGGCAGGCTAAGCAGCAAATCAGTCTGATGGCTCTGAGCGGCAGCAACCTGAATAACACATTCATGTAGCCGAGCCCGGACGGCTACATCGGACGGTGCGGAGCGGGGCATGCCTGCATGTAAAGTGATGCTTAAGACCTGCACAGGGATGTCAGTTCTGAGGCTCGAGGGGGTCCAGATAAACAGTTTCCCTAGTGTAATGGGCTGAAACCGCGCACCGGCTATACCGCCGGATGCAACGCGCGGAGTGGTGTCTGCATGGCACGGCTTCCTCATGGTGCTGATTTCAGCAGAAGGGAGTTTGAGTTTGTCGTTTCACTCACCGAATGTTCGCCGCCAAGGCTTTGTTCCTGACAGCTCCTATACTATACAGCTGAGAAGGTCAAATAGGCGATTTTCACTTCGCATCGCGTCGGTTCTATGCTCGCCTGCGCGGTGGGCGGGGAGGGGGGCATTGATGAGTCACGTTTTGCCCCGATTCCGTGAAACCTGCGTCTGGAACGCTGCGGCGGGTGTCGTGGCACGCCTGCACCCTCCGCTTGCGCCACGAGCTCACATCTGGTGGTATGCGCACTTGTGCGCCCTTGTGGCGTTACCGCACCGAGTGTGGGCGATTTTGCGGCCAAAAAAGGTGGCTCGTCTCACCTAGGTGTGGTGCACCACAGCTTATGGGCATTGCGTTTGTGTTCTAGTTGCAGCAATGAATCGAATCAGATAGGTCCCAGCCTCGGAGGCCGAGCGCTGAAAATACACCCAATACTACAAATACAAATAACTACATGACTTTACTGCTGCTGCCGAGCCGATCAGCGTGGTGCTGAACGTCGTGGGGTGCCTCGCGTGGCGCGCGGGCGTGACACGCTCACCCGCTCGGTAAAGTTGCCCGTCCTGCCGACAGGAGTTGGTGAATGGTTTGGGAGCGGACCGGGTGACATGTTTGGAGCACTGTGAGTCGTACTGCCAGCTGTGCTGTGCGTGTTTCCCCGCAGGTCATTTCGAATAGCGGATGGGATCGGTCGTCCCAATGTTCTTCAGTTGGAAATATGGGAACACTTCGCGGTGTTTGCTTTGTAAATATCCCTGTATTAGTGGATGATGTTTCCCAAAATCTAAATACCAAACTAATGGCACGATTGATGCGCGATTAATTCGATACGGGCGTATTTGAAACATTTGAACCGGATGATTTTGGGCTGGGGTTCACCAAAGATATTATCCGCGACGAGTGCTGGATTGGACAGTCACGAATGCCCCTAGATGTGGGGAAAATTGTCCAGCGCTGTGAGCTAGACAACTCTGAGTTGTTTTACGCACCGCCGAAATCTACCGCACAGCCACACCACGCCTCTTGCGGTGACACACACGGCCATATCCTGGCTCCTGGTGCAGTTCCTGGTAACATCTGACATTCACGCCGTCAAAAACACGGATCCCACTCAGGCGCTGCACAAACCGAGCGTGGCGCTGTCAACAGCCACCTTGAAGCTGCAGGGAGCCGGCTGGCGATCCAGCCCACTCAGGAGTGATCGCCGACTCTGTCCCCGGCCTGACCTGCCCAGGATCCAGCTCACCGACAGAGGTACCGCCAGCGACAATGTAAACACGCATGGAGACTTGGCGCGATGACAGGGCGGAAAGGCCTCCCGACAGGCCGGAATGCACCGACGCGGAGGACCCGGAAGAGAACAGCCGACGGCCGACCCCCCTCCCCCCCCCCCTCCTCCGCCCGCGCGGCGTGCATTCCTGGCGCCCGCCTGCGCCGCCGCTGCCGCCGCCGCCGCCGCCGCCGCCGCCGCGCCGGTAATACACGGTCTCCGGCGCCGCCCGCCCGAGCCGTGTCAGGGGCGCGCGGCGCCGTAGGGCGTCACGTGCCCGGGCGCCCCGGCGGCGGCGCAGGTGGCGCCTACACCTGTACAACCGCACCGAATGCGGGAAACACGCCGGCGCCGAATGCGGCATCTGGGCGCGGCTGTCGCTGGCGGCGGCCGGCCGGCGGAGGCGCGCGGGTTGGCTGCCGTGGCGCGTCCTCCACTCGCGCCCCGGCACGGAGCTGGTTGGTGGGGGTGAGGGGTGAGCCCGCGTGTGTATGGCTGGGAGATCACGAAGACTGGTCGCATGTCCGCGATCATATGTTCGACGCACATTCATGACAGCTTTCATGACCAGTTTACAGGTGTGTGTGTGTGCGGGAACCACGGCCACGCGCTTCTTTCGGTCCTTCGCGGCAAGATGTGTGCTCGCGTCGGTTTCGGAGAGACGTTCCGTCACCGACTACTACGAGCCTTTTAGCAGGAATAGCGCCCGGCTGCCAGCCCTGGGATAAAGGCGTGCGCTGAAAGGTTATGCATGTGATCAATCACTGCGAATCCCTTGTAATCTCGCCTAATAGGGGCGACACGTGTGACTCGGGCGTCTGTGGGATAACAAGGCAGCATCGTGCTATTTCGGGAATTTTTGCGTCAGCAATAGCGAAGAGCATTCTTCTGTCGTTCCTGTTAGGGGCCGCTAATATGATCATCTCAGGACACAACTTCCCAAAAATGTTTGGAGACGGCTCCAACAGTAACTTTGAACTTTTCGATGTCCTTTTCACGCGTGGCTACAGGCCCAACGCCAAAATATTAAATTGTTGGGTTCTCAGGCTCCACAAAGCATGTCTCTGCTCATACCCAGCGAAATCTATACTTTTGTCTTTGTGGATAAAAATATGATGGCGTTGATTTGTGCACAGAAGCTGTGTTCTCTTCCAAGCACATAGGCCTAATGTAGCGCCTGCAGGTCCGCTTTGTTATGCTGCATATGGCGCCAAACGCATCTGTCACTTTTTGCCAGAGCCCCCGCTACAGTCAGAGTATCTGACATAAAAACGGCCGGGTCCGGGCGGGGCCATCTCCTCCGTTACGACATCGTAAAGCCATCGCACCAAATTTGGTTCAGCTCTCGGCTTGCGTCAAATCTCCTTTGGGATATATCCGAGTCGTTCGGCCACTGACAACGTCGCATAAACAGGATAGAAGTCGCACACGAAATTGTTGTCATTGGTTCGCTGCTGAAGAACGTAAAATGCCTCCCGCTGGCTTTGTTTAGCTTTAGTTAGTGGTTTTACGGTTCCGGTGCTAGCTGTGTAATGCACTGTTTTGCACATGTTGGATGGGTGTAATTTTCGCTAAAGTTACCCGCCTTTAGACAGCCGAGAGGTCGTGGTACGTTTTTCCTAAGCTAAATCAAAAACATGTCTCTGGCTGTGTTTTATCCCCGTAAGAAAAGCTATGTGCGTTTACTTCCAACGTTACAAATTGTGGGAAGTGCATTCAGTTGCATGATGCTTGTGGCACGAAGAAAGTTTGCGAGCAATTTAAAGCTGGATTGATGCGATCAAGGGCGTAGTTTCCCAAAATGAGTTCGCGGGGGCTAAACAGTGACAAAATGGCGAAATCTGCCCCAAAATGCACCAGCAAAATGGTTTCGTCGTGAATTTGGCCCGGTCTATTTTCAGGGCCCGAGGCCCATGTTGAAGGGGAGAGGGCGGGGGAGGATAAAGCCATTTAACTCAATAAGAAACCACACTCCTGATTTTGTGACCTTTTTATTTGTGTGACTTTTCTAATACTGAGCTCGGCTTCTTGGTGCATTGTGTGTCACTCGTATTTTCCCTGTTTCACACTGGGCGAGTCTTATTTTGCTGGATATTTGGAGAGTATAACTCTTCTTCCGTCGCCGTTGTCCGTTGATTAATTCGATTTGCGTCATCGGAGCTGTCCAGACGCCGGAACTTTTGTCATCACGTGACGGGTAGCACTCTTTCCAGAGGGTGACGGCCAAGTTTGCCACTTAGAGTGCGAAAGATACCTCGTCCATAACACTTCAGAGACGACAGCGCGATGCCAGATCTTGTCAATCACGGCTCGCTCCGCAGGCTCAGACTGCTGCGTATCTCCTGATAATGATCGCCTCTCACACATGCAGGTTGGCTCCGCGGTGACCGACGCGCAGCTCGCTTAAAGAAACCGCGCAGCCTGACGAAACGACAAAGAAACACCGCGTAAAATGTTAATTGAGCCTCGCCCACAGTTCTTCTGGGGCCTTTGCACGACCAGCCGGAAGTTGCATACCATGACGTCCCATGGTTCGTATCGTCGCGGCATAACAGCGGTATGCGATCGAGTACACGGGTTAGCGGCTTAGGATGTGTTGAATGCTCCCATTTGTGACCGTGGGATATCGTCAAGCTCGTTAGTGCGGATCGATATCACGTCCGTCCTCGGTACAAACAATAAACGAAACGTCAAGATGTGTGCAGAGTGCCACTCAGAAGTGAACGGAGAGCATCATCCTTGATGTCGTGATTGGACCACACACTTGTGCATCCAGATTGGCGTCACATTCTAATTGCAGAACTATCCTCTCGAAATCATCCCTATTAGCTCACATTTTCAAGCTCAAATAGGGATTTTCACGGAGCCCTGCTATCGGACTGCATGCTCATCACTACCAACACATACTATTTGCACGTCAAAATTGGATTTGGATCTGTCCACCTGTGGCAACTTGCGGCTTTATGGATAATTAGAGCTTTCGATGTGTTATTAAGACTTTTTTTGGCATTCATTATTCTCGTTGTTACGGCATTATTCAGTTCATTACGGACTAGCGAATTCCCACAGACCAACACTTCAGGGCAGGAGCTAAATTTCAATAGTGGCAATAGCGCCAAAGCCCAGCAATAGCGCAATGGGGCGTATTTGTTTGGGATTTGGAAAACATATGCTCTCTGACTGACCACCACACAACGTGTCCTTATGGCAGCAGTTGAGCTTGAAGTAGGCCCGGCCTAGATGCGACCCAGCTTGAAGTGATGCTTGTGCTGGTGGCAGCTCTCGCCAACATTTTTGAGCCTAAGGTAAACATGTTAAAATGTCAATTCATGCTCCGAGCTAACCAAGTCCGCTGTTCATTATCATGCACAGCGATACTAGTCCCTTGCATTCATTTGTGATGACTGCTCTTCTCTTTTTCATGGTCATACGTTCGTGATTAATATCATGGTGATTATGTTTGCAAAGGGCCTGAACGGGCTTTCAGTGTATTTATAGACTTGCACTTTCGATGCATTATGGTCCCATATTTTAGTGCAGTTGGACCAATGTAAATGAGCCCCCACCTTGCACATGCACTGCCTCGTGTCCTGTGACAGCAGTATCTGAGCTGCCTGTGTGGCACCAGCCTGCCATAACTCACAATCACTGGCGGTGGTACGCACACTCACATGCCTCGCGCCCGCGGGGGGCGGCTGATAACCAAAGCCGAATGGCCGCCTGGAGACGGCTGCGCGCCGAACCAAAGGGCGCGCTCTCGGCGGGGCCCCCGGTGCGAGTGGTAAGAGGATTGCACCGGCGGCGGAGGACCTTCGGTGCACGCGCCCGCCTGTCCGCAGTATTAATGGCCGCTGGACCGGCCGGCGGTGTCCGCGGATAAGCCTCCGGTTAGGGCCCGCGCGTCTGCGAGGCTGAGTCGGGAGGACTTTGACTCTGAGTCGTGCATCGGTCGCGGGCTGGCCGAGTCGGGTTAACCTTGACTCTGAGTCGCGCATCGGCCGCGGGCTGGCAGAGTCGGGTTAACCTTGACTCTGAGTCGCGCATCGGCCGCGGGCTGGCAGAGTCGGGTTAACCTTGACTCTGAGTCGCGCATCGGCCGCGGGCTGGCAGAGTCGGGTTAACCTTGACTCTGAGTCGCGCATCGGCCGCGGGCTGGCCGGATGGGGCTGACCTCGCGGCCGAGCCGGGGGACACCTGCGGCCGAATCATACCGCCCGAGCTGGACATTGTGTCACATGTCCATTCACGATGTCCTACCAGCAGCTCGGCGGGCGGGCGCCTCGGCCCTGCGACGGTGCGTTCCGCGCGGCAGCGGGCCGGCAGACGTGCCGCTTCTCGCGGCCAGTCCAGCCGTGCACGCAGTGCGGGTCCAGGCCGTGTCGACGCGCGCTTCCCTGCATGCTGCCCGCCCCGGTGACTGATACCGTATCCTGGCGCCCTGCCGCAGACGTGCCGCCGGCGCCGCAGCGGCCCCTCGTGGTGGGGTTCACCTCGCGCTCGGCCGAGCTCTCCTGGGCGCCCCGCTACTCGGAGACGGACACGCCGCCGCTCAGCTATGTCCTGCAGAAGAGGTACGTCAGGCCGGAGAAGGTCAGACGGTGATGTGTCCCCGGGACCAGAGCAGGCTGGAGGGGTGTATGCTTACAAGTTGCAGTGCCTGTATGGTGTTCGTTGCCACGCACACGTTGGGTGTGCGATTTTTTGCGGCCAGTTGTTTGAAAATGTTTGATTTTGCCTGGATGTCATCTTGAACAGAACTATCTGCAGCGGTAAGATGGTTCAACTGTTGATATTGTTTGCTGGTGTTGCAAGATAGATGGTAGGCTGACACTGATGCTGCCCAATTCGGTACGTCACGTCTTGAGACGATCGCATAGTGTTGCAACTTGTTATCAGTTTCATTGCATTTATTTTGCCGTGCTGCTTACAATGCATGTGTGATGCATGTTTACCATACACAATAGGCCTCTGCATAGTACAATAATATATGGCTATTCCATCTCGCGTATATGGCCGTGCTGCTTACGAAGCACGTCTGAAGATGACGTAATAATCTGCAAGTTGACGTCGTACATCCATCATACCTGAAATCTTTGATGGTTAGAGCCTAAGCCAGCTCGGCAAACCATTGTCTGTGCTTCAGAACCATACGATTAGATCGCGAGCCCCGGTTTTACGGATGTTACGTGCGTTTTTTCAGGGTATTTGATCCGCTGGGTCCTTGGGACCAGACGCATGAGCTGGAGATTCCAGCCATCACCACCATGTTCAACGTCACCGACCTGCTGCCGTTCACCGCCTACAGCTTCCGAGTGTTCTCCGTCAACAGGGTGGGCAGGAGCGAGCCCAGCGAGCCCTCATACCCCATGGTCACGCACCGAGAACGTGAGTGACCGCTCCACCAGCAGCCGGTGATTGTCGTATTAGCTAGTGTCGCGAATGCTGACGGAAGCTTCTGAGAATGCCGACGTCCAAGACATCCGAACGCTGGACTGAAATGTCACAGAAACGTTTGGAACATAACACTCGGTTGCTATTTGGCAATGAATAGATAAACCTGTCTTTTTATGAGAAAACTGATTTTTATCAGAATCAAACTATTCAACTCTTCGACAGGTAAGGCCCCAAAAATGCTAACACCGCGATTGCCTCAGTACAAATCGCCTCAGCACCTGCTCGAGATTCGACACTGCTTTCTGCATATCTCTAATAACATGAACTATACCTTACATGCCAGAACCTAACCTCATCAGACCGTCCAATTTACTTTGAAGCAAAGTAAGCCGATGCATGAAAGGCCCCAGATAACCAGTGATCACTGCAGCTCATCGCTTTCCTCCAGGGGTTCGTGTTCTATTTCAAAACCCGCTCCCACCGCCATTCCGACAGATCCCAGTGGCAAGCCCACGGTCATCCAGACCCTGAGCCCGGGGCCCGACGCCATAGAGGTGGTCTGGAGGCCGCCCGATGCCTCCACCATGAACGGCGAGTTCATCGGTCACGTGATCTCGTACCGACCACGTGACCGGCCGACTGCCGAATGGAGCAAGATCGACCTGTCGGGCAACGCTAACGAAACGACGGTCAGTGCGAGCTGCCGCTGGCGGCGGTCCGCACTGTGCTGCGGCGGCCTCTCGCTGCTGCCAGTGCCGACGTGGCTGCTTTCTATTCATCGAACACGTAGTCGAGCTCGACCAGACATCGAGACGCCCCAGAGACCGATGTTCACTGGGATGTGAAGTTACGTGTGATTCGAAATTCGTCGCTGCCGGGTCCATGTTTATCGCCGAAATTCAGGCCGACGCGAGCTCAAATTTGTATGACAAGCATAACTTATCGATCCCGCCTGCTTCAACCGGCGGCGTTGGCATCTGTTCTCACAACGTCTCTGGGATCCATGTTTGGAACGCACCCTGCGCAAAACGTCACTTCGCTGGCACGGACTCGGCCGGGCATTTGCCACCAGCATGAGGCCTTTGGCTTCCTGTCACTCGCTAACGTACCTCCCCACCGCCCGCAGAGTTACGTAATCGAAGGCCTGACGCCGTACACAGAGTATCTGATCCGAATCCGGGTGAAGAACATGGTCGGACTCGGACCTTACACGGTCGTCCGAGAGACAACGGAGGAAGGCGGTAAGAAGGCAGGAGCGCACTTAGGCTGAAACCGTACCGCGCTTCAGCAACGTGGCATTTGTTTTGTAAGCTGTGCATGTCAATGCTCAGGATGGTTGTGCTAATTGGAATTGGTCGCTGGCATTTTTGTGACGTTCATTTGTGTGTTTACGGATGTAGTCATTCCATTTATAGTCACGTTGTATTTGCGCCATAATGGCGCTGACGTACCTCCACCTGGATCCCAGCTAAGTTGTCCTGGCCGTGTCCGATACAGCCTAGACTAGCGGGCGGCAGAGCCCGTGTGTTCGGCCGCCCGCGCCGCGTGCCGAGTGTGAGACGTCGTTCCCTTGCGGCGTGGCAGTGCCGGGCCGGCCGGGGCAGCTGCGTCACCTCCTCGTCGGCGACACCTGGGCGCTGCTCTCCTGGCGACAGCCGGCCCGTCCCAACGGCGTCATCGTCGGCTACTACCTCTACTTCGAGTTCGACCGCGCCAACCGCAGCATCACCGACAACAGGATCATCCGTCAGGCGCTCCCCGACATGACGTACAACCTGACGGGACTAGGTCAGTCGCCTGTGACGGGACTAGGTCAGTCGCCTGTGGCGGGGCTAGGTCAGTCGCTTGTGACGGGGCTAGGTCAGCCGCCTGTGATGGGGCTAGGTCAGTCGTTTGTGACTGGACTAGGTCAGTCACCTGTGACGGGCCAGGTCAGTCGCCTGTGACGGGCTAGATCAGTCGCCTGTGACGGGGCTAGGTCAGTTGGCTGTGACGGGGCTAGGTCAGTCGCTTGTGACGGGGCTAGGTCAGTGGTTCGCCATGTCCGCCTGTGTTCGCCTGTGACGGTTCGCCGTATCCGCCGCTGGTGCTCGGCGACAGTTTCTGAGCCAGGCCCATGATCAGTGGCTGGCTCCAATTTAGCGGCTATGGTGGAGAGTTCGGTGCGCTCGCGGCTGATGGCTGTATAGAGTCATGAGCCTGAATTTGCAGTTAGCTTGTTCTGTTCAGGCCGCCAGGAGTATTCGTCAGACTGGAACCCTAGCGCTAGCATGTGATGTTGATTATCAAATGCATTTCAAACTCGTAAGTGTATCATAGGAGGGAAGCAGCGCAAATCCGATATTTGTGTTATCTTTTTTAAATCATGATTTCGTGATAAAATCATCAAAATGGTAAACCTAGATATTGTTTGCCTCCATCTCCAATTAAAAGCCATCATTGCGTGAAACCTTAAAACCAGATGGGCCTCTTGTATAATGCATAGGTCTCTAGATCTTACCCCAGTTGCACCAGCTAAGACGGAGCATTTCCTCGTCATCATGCACTTGGAGGGATCTGTTCCACTAGAAAACTCATTTCGGTCGCAATGTATTATTATACGTCAAACGCGGAGGAATAGACACTCATATTACCCTGCAAGCAGCGTGCAAGCTCATATTAGTAAGGCTCAATTGGACACCACAGCTCCCGCACACACCCAGCACACGATGGTGGCTCGCCGGCTCCACATCTTCCCCGCACAGACTCTGCAACTGAGCACCGCGGTGTGCCGCGCTACGCCGGCTCCACATCTTCCCCGCACAGGCTCCGCACACCCAGCACACAGTGTTGGCTCACCGGCTCCACATATCCTCAACAGCTCCGTACAAACCCCAGCCACGGTGTGGCTCGCCGGCTTCCACATCTTCCGCACGCTCCCGCCACCATCACAGTGTTCCGCTCACCGCTCCACATCTTCCTCCACAAGCTCCGTATCACCCAGCAACACGTGTCGCTCACCGGCTCCACATCTTCCTCCAAGCTTCGTACAACCGGCAACACGATGTGCTCGCCGGCGTCCACATCTTCCTCCACACCTCCGTACACCCAGCACACGGTGTCGCTCACCGGCCACATCTTCCTCCACAGCTCCGTACACCCAGCACACGGTGTCGCTCACCGGCTCCACATCTTCCTCCACAGCTCCGTACACCCAGCACACGGTGTCGCTCACCGGCTCCACATCTTCTCCACAGCTCCGTACACCCAGCACACGGTGTCGCTCACCGGCTCCACACCTTCCCGCACAGCTCCGTACACCCAGCACACGGTGTGGCTCACCGGCTCCACATCTTCCTCCACAGCTCCGTACACCCAGCACACGGTGTCGCTCACCGGCTCCACATCTTCCTCCACAGCTCCGTACACCCGGTACACGGTGTGGCTGCACGCCAAGACCGGGAAGCATGAGGGCGAGCGCTCGGAGCGGGATGACGTTCCGCACGGACGTGGGCGGCCCGGGCGGCGCCGGTTCATCACCAACGCCTCGTGCCAGGCGGACACCTCAGTCTTCCTGCAGTGGCGCCGGCCGCAGCAGGTGCACGGCTCCATCGACTTCTACCACGTCATGTACCGCAGCGAGTACGACAACGAGTTCCAGGAGGCCACCATTCCCACCTCGTTTAGCATCGAACAGGAGAAGGTGGGTGGCAGACACGGCGCCGTGACACGCGAGAGAGGCGCGCCACCTATCGGGAGCTGACGGCAGCGAACTCGTTCACCAAACAATGCCTCAGCTACACAAACTTCCTGATTGCTTTCCTGCTTAGCCTGATTCTCTTCATCTCACTAACATTTGCCGTTTAAATATGTATGAAGCGAGGCGTGACAATATCTGCCGCCAAGTTGACTGTGTTCGAGGCGCAAAGCGGTGCCAAGTTGTTTTGCAGCTGCGCACCCTATTTCGCCACGTTTGTGCCGAAGTCCAAAGAAACTTCCGCTGCCCGCAGGTCCTGCTCGCCAATCTGACGGCCAACACCATGTACGAGGTGCGCGTACGTGGTGTTACCAAGTCGCGCTTCAACGCCAGTACGCTGTACGTCGGCCGCAGCTCTGAGCCGCGCAAGGTGCTGCTGCAGCCGGACTGCGAGCGCGTGCAGTATCTGCGCCGCCAGCGCGAGCGGCCCGCCGCCTGGGAGCTCGGCTCCGGCATGGTGGCCGGCGTGGTGTGCGCCGTGCTGGCGCTGCTGCTGGCCGTGCTGGCGCTACTCGTCTGGAGGTCAGTGGCGCTGCAGAGACAGCTGCGCTGGGCGGTCTGTGGGTCAGGAGAGCAGGTGCTGTTGTGTCTGGGAACGGGCACCCTGGTGTTTAGGAGCTGATCGATATAATTTGGGTGGGTAATTCTGGAGAAGAGCATCTAAACCTCTATCTTATGCTGGTATGAGCGGCATAAGGCATTGCGGGATTTTTTGACTAGGCATAGTGAATCAATGTAAGAACCAAGGTGAAAAACAGCAGAGGACGCGGAACACAGCGCTAGGAGTGGCAATGTAGGATGAGCAAGCCTGAGAATAACTGTTTTATGATGCTATGATGCAACGAGAATAGAGAGCAGCATAGGCAGATTTTTACGTGCTTTTGGAGAATTTTCAGCAATTATATTTTACGTATTAGTGCTCAGGGGCGGCGCTACAGATTTTGAGTTGGAGCAGGATTTTCCAGGGGCCTCCTGGATCAAATCGGGCCTCCTGACAGGGGTGCCTCCTGCGCGGTGTGGTATTCGATGGAGGCTATTCTATAGACTTACTTCCAAGGACATTTGCCCCCCTATTGAACCGTTACTTGTATCATCTCCGAGTGAATAGGCGTGGGCGGCTACAAAGTCACGAATGGAGGCTTTCTTGGCATCCAGGAAAGGGCCCCGCTAGCCCAAAGCAGGATTTCCTGTTCCAGTGCACGGCCTCCCAATATTTAGAGGGACTCCTAACACGGAGCAGGATGTTTCCGAATCACGAAGGGGTCTCCCAATCCGACCAACGAGCATCACTATCTCACAGCAAGGCATTCCAGTCTGGAACCAATACCATTTGATGCATGAAACGGGTCTGATGTTCCAGAGTGGGCCTCCTGAATGTACAGGGTGCCTCCTTACCCAGAACAGAGGCCGCGTAGCTTGTAACGGGGTCTCCCGAGGCAGCAAATGAGCCCCTTAACGTGACATTGGGCTCTGATCTATAGCATTAACAGGAAACGGGTATCTTGATGTAGCAAAGGCTCTTCTGAACCTAGTTATCATTCTCTAGCTCAGTTATGGGGGTCTCCTTTATCTAAACTTTCGCACTCTGCGGGTAGCTTCAATGCTTTTAGGTTTAGAAAATGAGGCCTCCGAAAAATGGGGGAGGGGGGTGGAGAAATATACCCTGGGAGGCCAACTTCCCTTTCTGCCCCCCCCCCTCGCCCAAGTTGGGCCCCCGCTGTTGGTGATATAAATGTGTAATATTAGTAGTGTTATTTTCATAAAAGAAAAGGCATCTGACAAAAGATAATTTAGCTTTAAGGACGCGTCAATTGCGGCGATTATTCGCGCCCTGACCAGGCATGACATCATCCATGCACGATGTACATGCGGAACTTACTATATGTGCGGAAGCATGATATCCAGTCTTGTAAATCCGCTGTCTTGGGCACCCAGCGGTCTTGTTCTGAATATGTCCGAATAGTTGATTGGTGATATATATATATATATATATATATATATATATATATATATATATATATACAAATATGTGTGTTTGTGTGTGTGGTGTGTGTGTGTGTGTGTGTGTGTGTGTGTGTGTGTGGTGTGTGTGTGTGTGTGTGTGTGTGTGTGTGTGTGTGTGTGTGTGTGTGTGTGTGTGTGTGTGTGTGTGTGTGTGTGTGTGTGTGTGTGTGTGCTTGCGTGTGTGCGTGTGTGATGCCTAACCACTGACTAGGAACCAAACATCATCTTTGAGATAGTATTTGGTGCTTTACGGCGTAGCCGCAGGCATCTGCCCTTAGCTTCGAACTTCCAAAGGTATGAGGTGGTCTGGTAGTGGGATGAATAGCATACATCCTTCTCCGTCCATTTCGGGCAAAATCTCGGGGAAAGTAAATACTGAGGATGAGCTTGAAAACCTTTGCATTCTTGCAACCTACTTTGGCTCTGAGCTCAAATTGGTTCTGCTATACGCCCTGGAAATTCTGATTTCGTGGGGCTGTTATTTTCATTCGGACGATACCCTGCGCCTATCTGACGGTCGAATCTTTACCCAGCATGAATGCTAAATCTGGCGGCAAACGAATCAGGCCCTGCGCATCCGCCAATACCTGGCCGAGTGGCGGCATTCGACGGATAAATCTGCACATGAATGAGCCGCATTTGAATAATGTAATGGGTCCTGCATTTGCTGTTGGTGCGGAAAGAGCGGTGTCTGTCGGACCAGTGCGCCACTCGCACCGGATGCCGTGACGTCAGTGGAGCCTCGGCCAAGTCTGCCCTGACGGTGCTGTGACGTCAGCGGAGCTTCGGCCGAGTCTGCTCCGCCGATGCTGTGACGTCAGCGGAGCCTCGGCCGAGTCTGCTCCGCCAGTGTTGTGGCTTTGGTGGAGCCTCGGCCGAGTCTGCTCTGCCGGTGCTGTGATGTCTGTGGAGCCTCGGCTGAGTCTGCTCCGCCGGTGCTGTGACGTCAGTGGAGCCTCGGTCGTGTCTACTCTGCCGGTGCTGTGAGGTCGGTGGAGCCTCGGTCGTGTCTGCTCCGCCGGTGCTGTGACGTCGACGGAGCTTGGGCCGAGTCCGCTCCGCCGGTGCTGTGATGTCGGCGGAGCCTCGGCCAAGTCTGCTCCGCCGGTGCTGTGATGTCGGCGGAGCCTCGGCCGAGTCTGCTCCGCCGGTGCTGTGACGTCGGCGGAGCCTCGGCCGTGTCCGCTCCGCCGGTGCTGTGACGTCAGTGGAGCCTCGGCCGTGTCTGCTCCGCCGGTGCTGTGACGTCGGCGGAGCATCGGCCGGGTCTGCTCCGCCGGTGCTATGACGTCAGTGGAGCCTCGGCTGTGTCTGCTACGCCGGTGCTGTGACGTCGGCGGAATCTCGGCCGTGTCTGCTCCGCCGGTGCTGTGACGTCGGCGGAGCCTCGGCCGAGTCTGCTCCGCCGGTGCTGTGACATTGGTGGAGCCTCGGCCGAGTCTGCTCCGCCGGTGCTGTGACGTCGGCGGAGCCTCGGCCGAGTCTGCTCCGCCGGTGCTGTGACGTCGGCGGAGCCTCGGCCGAGTCTGCTCCGCCGGTGCTGTGACGTCGGCGGAGCCTCGGCTGAGTCTGCTCCGCCGGTGCTGTGACGTCGGCGGAGTCTCGGCCGTGTCTGCTCCGCCGGTGCTGTGACGTCGGCGGAGCCTCAGCCGAGTCTGCTCCGCCGGTGCTGTGACGTCGGCGGAGCCTCGGCCGTGTCTGCTCCGCCGGAGCTGTGACGTCAGTGGAGCCTCGGCCGTGTCTGCTCCGCCGGTCTGTGACGTCGGCGGAGCCTCGGCCGAGTCTGCTCCCGCCGGTGCTGTGACGTCAGTGGAGCCTCGGCCGTGTCTGCTCCCGGTGCTGTGACGTCGGCGGAGTCTCGGCCGTGTCCGCTCCGCCGGTGCTGTGACGTCAGTGGAGCCTCGGCCGTGTCTGCTCCGCCGGTGCTGTGACGTCGGCGGAGTCTCGGCCGTGTCTGCTCCGCCGGTGCCGTGACGCGTGATGTGAACGGTATCGGCGCATCGCTGGTGCTCGATTCTCGAACCAGGCAGCGTCGCTGATTTGTGTGACGGGCCGTGAAATCGTTGCTCTTATCACGTGACGGCATCTCTGTGACCTTTGATCTCCGTCGGCTCCAACTATCCGGACCATCAATTGCAGGCATGCATTCATATTCTGCATTCAATCATCATCCGACTCTTAAAAAGCTATTACTGTCGCTCGCATGCCAACTTCATCACTCAAGCGCGCTGGTGTTCAGATGAATACTTTTGAAGATGATCGCATTGATAACGACAAATCACCAGCTAAAGACCACAAACAACAGACAGCGGACCTATGTCGAATCCGTCATTACCGCTCGGGTCCATCTCCACCTCGCAGGAAGTATTTCCAAGCGTCTTACAACTACCTGGATGACCCGCACAAGGCCATGTCGACGCTCTCCACCGACTGGGAGTCCGACTCTCCGGACGGGCCAGCGGGCGCCACCCCCGTCCACCTCTTCCCCAAGCACGTGACGCGTCTGCACGCCGACGGCGACATCGGCTTCAGCAAGGAGTACGAGGCGATCCAGGCCCAGACGCTGCTGGACGGCCACACGTCCGAGCTCAGCCAGCAGCCAGAAAACAAGCACAAGAACAGATACCTTAACATTGTAGCCTGTGAGTGAGCGCGCAGAGGTTTTCGGTAAACGCCCGTAGATGGGAGCTTCTGCCTCACTTTTTTTTTGTTGTGACGCTGGAGATGTCATGTCCTGCCATGTCCTCCCGGTGCACGCAGGACATGACTGCCAGGATGCAAGGATGCGAAAGGCTAGTTATTCAATTGTGCTGTTCTTAAAATGTTACTAGGTAACGTTAGTCAGGCGCCTTTTGCAGTTACGAACTGTGCATATTAATTTATTGAATGTTCAAGACCAAAGGATAATTTTTTACGATGACGACATAACCGATTTATTTCGTTCGCCCCAGACGACCACACGATGGTTCCTCTTCAACCGACGAGTCCCCAGAAGAAGGCGGACTACGTCAACGCCAACTTCATCGACGGCTACCATAAGCCGCGCGCCTACATCGGCACCCAGGGCCCACTGCCGGAGACGTTCGACTGCTTCTGGCGCATGGTCTGGGAGCAAGACGTGCACATCGTCGTCATGATTACCAACCTGATGGAGCGAGGACGGGTAAGCCTGCCTGTCGGCTGCTGGCCAAGCATGAGCTCGTCACCAGCCCATGCTGTCGGAGCTCCTATCACATCGGCAGGCTAGCTTCATTGACACCGAATAGCCCGCTCGAAGTTCGCGCGGTAAAAACTTAAGTGCTTGTTGATTGTCACGACGAATGGCGTCCGCTGTCGCCGTACACAGGATGCAAAAACGTCTCGCATTGGAATTCGGACAACCACTCACGCCTCGTCAGACAGGTGCGCCCCGCACGTGGTCGCCAGCGGTGGCGCGCCAGGCCTGGTCCCCTTCACGCATGCGGCGTCAGGTCACGACCCGTCAGGTGACGCAAGTCGTCATCAGGGGGGAGGGGGGTATACCCTCTGTACTTGCAGGTCAGACCAGTGGCCGATCAACCAATCGCGGCGTGCCGTGGAATGGCCGGTCAAACCGCGCATGCAGGGGCTTTAGTGTCGCATGGGTGCGCGCAAACCAGCAGTGGTGAATGGCATCTCGTCGACCTGGGCGTCCTATTTTTTATCTAAGACGTGAGTGCTTCTTTTCAGATAAGATGCACTGTTTATTCGATTAATGGGTTTCAGAAGTTTTAAAGACCTTTATGTTGTTATTTTCGTGCGTCATTACCCTAATACTGATCGTGAAATATTGGGGTGGGACCGGGAGTCGTCATGCTCCAAAAGTCTACCGCTACCAAAAAAGATATCTCTGTTTCCTTGCAGAAAAAGTGTGACCTCTACTGGCCCCAGGAAGGCAAGGAAGCCTACGGCGACATTCAGGTCACTGCGCTGGGTCAGAATGTCATGGCCACATACACCATCAGGAAATTCCGCATACGGCATCTGCAGGTTAGTACCCCGAACATGAACTGCTCGTCGTGGAAAACTAAAATGAATCGCTGACAGCACTGCAGAGCGTACTCGTGCATAACGCCAGACATCGTATTCAGTCTCAAACGACCGTATTAGTTAAGCACATGGAATTCCGGTTGTCTGTACCAATGCTCTCGAGACCCAGGCTCCTGACCCCGAGTGGCACTCATATCAGCCGGGGTCCGTCATCCGGCTTGTCGGATACCTCCCGGTACACAGCTGTAAATTACTGTGCAGCTTGCAGAGGGTCAGAGATCCCGTATCATCCGGCGGTCGTCTGTTGTTTCAATGTACGCCGTGTGCCGTGGGTACGTGTCGTATGTCGTTTTGGATTCAGACCGCTTCTCCTCTCGCCATGCCAAGGGGAAGACACATGTTCTCGCCGCATTGATACGTTTGCACATGCATGGATCCGTGACCGAATCGAGCTGGTCTCCGTTGTGGAAGTCAACCAGCTGGGTTATTTACAGCAATTGGGAAACATTTGACATTCAGCTGCCTTGCATAAAGTATGGCAGTTCGATGCCACCGACAAGACGGAAGAAATAGAGCTAAAACTGCTCGGATTTAGAGGCTGCAGCTTAGCTAAACATATCCCGCTGCCGAAAAACCGTTGCCGGCCCAGGATCATATTGACAGCAATGACTCGTATGTTGTCTCTTGTTGTCGGTCTCCTTCCGCGTGTAATTCGCGCAGCGGCCTCTCACCGACCGTCTGGTTCTGTGCAGCTGGACAAGAAGCGTAGCCGCGGCGCCACGGAGCGCGTCATCTACCAGTACCACTACACGAGCTGGCCGGACCACGGCATCCCGCAGAGCCCGCTGCCGATCCTCAGCTTCGTCAGGAAGTCGGCCGCCGCCAATCCGGAGGGGGCCGGCCCGATCGTGGTGCACTGCAGGTCAGCGGGAGGTCCGGTGTACGGCCTCTTGTTGTGGACTTCTTATGTATATGTCTGTGTGTGTGTGTGTGTGTGTGTGGTGTGTGTGTGTGTGTGCATCTCTCTCTCTCTCTCTCTCCTCTCTCCTCTCTCTCTCTCTCTTCTCTCTCTCTCTCTCTCTCTCTCTCTCTCTCTATCTCTCTCTCTCTCTCTCTCTCCTCTCTCTCTCTCCTTCCTCCTCTCTCTCTCTCTCTCTCTCTTCCTCTCTCTCTCTCTCTCTCTCTCTCTCTCTCTCTCTCTCTCTCTCTCTCTCTCTCTCTTCTCTCTCTCCTCTCTCTCTTCTCTCTCTCTCTCTACTCTCTCTCTCTCTCTCTCTCTCTCTCTCTCTCTCTCTCTCTCTCTCTCTCTCTCTGCCTCTCCCCGTTCACTCTTCCTCTTCCTATTTGCCTACTTGTCTCCTTTCCTCTTTCCTTACAAGCAGAGTTTAATGAAAGGACTAAACGTTCATTACATCACCCTCTTGGGTGCGTTGGATCATAAAAGAGAGATATGTTATGACTGTGTACACCTGCGCGCCCTAACACCCGGGCCTAATTGACAGTTAATGTCCCGTACGCTGTTTTATAAAGGTAGTATTTCATCTGCCGTAAAGGCAACGTCTTAATTGTGCTTTGCGCACGCATAGTTCATGCATTGCTTTAACGCACAGATGCGTACGTTGCGCCACGTTAGCTATGACCCAGGGACAGTCACCCTAAGACGGTCGGTCCCACGTGGCGGCAGCGCTGGCGTGGGTCGGACCGGTACCTACATCGTCCTGGACTCTATGATGCGGATGATCCGGGCGAAGGGCGAGCTGAACGTCTTCGGCTTCCTGAAGCACATCCGGACGCAGCGCAACTTCCTGGTGCAGACCGAAGAGCAGTACATCTTCCTGCACGACGCTCTGCTGGAGCTGGTGGAGAGCGGCGAGACGGACATCCACAGCACCTTCCTGCGCCGCTACCTGCACAACTTGCAGACCACTGAGCAGGACATCTACCCCTGGTACAACCTCGACAGGCAGTTCAAGGTGGGCAAGAGGTGAAGCTAGGTTCGCGGCTTGTTGATGCAGCTTCAAAGGAGTCATCATTGGTAATCACGCCTGGCCGCCGCATCACCGGCAGTGCAGTTCATGTATTGTACGTGTTGTGCACTTAAATATGTCCTTGCGATGCATCTGAAGCCATACGCTGTGGGTAGGTGCATTGAAGCTGTGTCGTGGGAGAAACTCGAAACATGGTGTAGACTATTTCTAAGGGCAGCCCGATCGACGGCGCGCCTCTGAATGCCAGCTCATGTTTACATCACGACCAAGGTAATATCCGCACCGCCAACAAACCCCGACGTGGCTTCAGCTGATCAACTACGACCAGCCGACCAACAAGAGCATCGCGTCGGCGCACCACCAGCTGAACGTGCCGAAGAACCGGCGTCCGGACCTGGTGTCGACCGAGGCGAGTCGAGTGCGGCTGAGTCCACGCTCCGGCGTCGAGTGCTCCGACTACATCAACGCCAGCTGGCTGCCCGGCTTCAGCAAGCTGGACGAGTTTGTGGTGACGCAGCACCCGCTGGCCGCCACCGTCACCGCCTTCTGGCAGATGGTGTGGGACCACAACGCGCAAACGATTGTCCTCCTCAGTCCGGTTGATGATCAGGTCAGTGATACAGAATGGAGCCAGTGGCATGGTGGAGGGTCCCCGCAGTGCGAGATTGTTCGGACAGCTCGTTGCACCTTGGTGGGTATGCTCGGTAGTCACGGACAATGGCAGCAGTGAGTGTTGGCTGTCGCCGTGCTTAGTTTTTCTCGCGTCAGGGAAAGTTTTCATTCATAGGTGACTGGACCCCGGATGATGTTGTGTTGTCTCGACAGCGAGTTGTGAGGGTAGTGTTTTGCTGTTATGATGCCCACGTGTTGCGCCACTATAACCCTCCGGGACCTCGTGACGCCTCTGATCATCGTTGCAGGAGTACTGCATCTTTGGCCGATGGAGCACGACGACATTGAAGCCGACCAGTTCCGGGTGCGCTTTATCGCCGAAGCGCAGAGGCGGGCCGTACGTGCTGCGCGACTTCACGCTCCAGTCGCCAAACGGTACGATCGAAGCGCTGGCTGCCGAATGGCATGGCCTCTTAGCGTCGCTGACGGTTCGATTTTCTGGCGTTGTGTGATCATATCGGCTGGCAGCTCGGGCGGTGGCACCGTCTCAAACATTTTCGTCAGAGGGCCGGCCCCGTTTTGAAACTCCGGCTCCATGGATGATGACGCTGGTGTTTCTGCCGGCAGGATGAGTACGAGCTGGCAGTGCGCATCATCCAGTGCTCCAGCTGGCCGGAGAATTGCAGCCCCATCGTGCGCGTATTCGACTTGATCCAGGTGGTGCAGCAGTGGCACCTGGAGTACCAGAACGGGCCGTGCCTGGTGGTGGACCGCTTCGGCGGCACCGAGGCCGCCACCTTCTGCTGCCTGACCACGCTGATGAAGCAGCTCGAATACGAGTCGCACGCCGACGTGTACATGTACGCGCGTCTGTACCAGGCGCGGCGGCCGGGCGTGTGGCGCTCGCAGGACGACTTCCTCTTCCTGTACCGGGCCGTCGAGGCGCTGGTGGCGGACGACGCGGACGCGCCGCCGCCGCCGCCGCCGCCGGACGTGACGGACGTGCAGCGCCAGACGCTGAAGCCCATCCTGAAGAAGGCCGGCCAGCGGCAGCGGCCCGCCTCCACCGCCACCGTCCGCATCCCGCCGGACGGCATGGAGAGCGTCGTCGTCGACGTGGGAGAGTACGTCACGTGAGGCCGGCGGCGCGACCGGTGACGTCGCGCCACGCCGCCCTCCGCCGCGCCGCTGGCGGGCCCCGGCCGACGCCGGGGAGCGGCGCACGTCTAGTCGGCGGCCGAGCGCCGGCGGCGGCTCGCCGCAGTGTCTCGCCGGCGCGCCGCGCGTCGCCGCGACGCCCGCCCCCTGTCGTCTGCGCTTACCCCGCGAGCCGCGTGCGTTCCGTTCATGTTTTGGCGGTTAGGCAGCGTTTGCTGGCGTCCAGAGCGGCCAGCGTCGTACCTGTCGATGCCAGAATGTCGTTGGTGAACTCGTGCTCTGGTGTATCGATTGCGCTCCAGCTTGATTTGCGACGGGTGTTCGTGGGTTTTTGTGACACTTTAAGTGCTATGTGCGTGTTTACGACATGAATGCCTCATGCCCATGTATTTGTCACTGCTCAAGAATCAGTTTGATTTCGTCGGACCACAGGACTACCTGAAAGCTTTGCTTTATGATGAGGGATCTTTGTGGACTCGTTGTCCGTGTAGGTTCAGCCGTTGTTGTTCATTGTAAGAATGTGCGTCGATTGATACTTGACTGACTGGTATGATCGCGCGGGCTGAAGCCAATTTGCTTTATTTTCTGCTCTGCCCGTGGCAGATTTTACACTGAGTGGGGAAGTATGTTCCTGTGATATTTTGGTTATTGTTTTTGATAAAATAAAGCTGATGTTTGATTAGGAATGCGTACTATCCGTTTGCTGGAATATAGGCCATTGTTGATGGAACGAACCGAGTTGCTCTTCCATTCAACATTATCTAGTGCGATGAACCATATGTGAGCTGAAATTGACGAATGTTCATTTTGAAACCGAATGGCAACATGGGTATTTGCCATCGCAAAGATGAACCATGGAAATACGGAGGTTACTTACAAATGAATACACAGCATACGGAAAGCAAGGTGTCTCCTTCCCGGGCAAAAAGGCCGTTTTTCGCCTCAGCTTGCATTTCCGGGCAATTTGATAGACCTGTTTCAGACTGATGGGTATATATTTGTTTTCAGAAAGACGTAAAAGTATTAGCTTTTAAGATTTCTTAGCACATTTAGCCACTTGACCTAGCGATCAAAAATGGACCGCAAGGACAGTATATGATGTATCCGATGACATAAAGGGAAACTAAGACTTTCTGGGAATCCGAACGTCAATAAATCTACACTAGCCTAAGGAAGATGCAAATCAACAACATGATCCCACATCTGTCTGTGTCTGTGATCTCATGCTGTTTTATTACTCTAGCGCTTGCTGTCTGAGGCAGCTTCTGGCGCTCATTTCAAATTTATTGAAATCAGTAACAACATTATAGATCTTCCGTGAACTTTTTTTAAGGTCAGAATAGGTCACTGACCTAGAACGGCCAAGGTCAAACTTTTGTTTCTAGGAGCATATTGCGTAGCGTAATTTTAGTCGCTTATTCGAATGCAGAACTCAAAGCAGTCGTGTATGATTTTGGTCACCATGGCTTCCGGAAAGTCGAACCGGTCATTGACTTAATGATCGTGTGACTATTTGCTTAGAACAGGTTTCCACATTCTGTGGCACTTTGTATACACACTTGGAGTTAAACATTTTTCTTTGGCCCGAAGGTCATGACTTGGGAACCTCAAATTTTCAACCAAATAGGCTCATTTACAGAACAACATATCTTGTAAATTTAGCGTCTCTACCTCTCTTAGTTCCTGAGATCTCAGCGGGGTCAAATTGAACCCCACATGAGCTAATGGTATCCAATCGGCCGCCCGGGCGCATGTTAACGCGGCCAGAACACTTTCCTGATCTCAAGTCAAGGGGCGCTAGGGCGCTGATTTTTTGTCATCTGGCATTTTTTTTTTCTGTGTGAACATGTTGGTGATAGGAAAATGAACTTAAGCCCGAACAGAGCTGACCTGTTAGGTGGTGACGATTTTGAGGTGAATAGCTAGAGCAAAGCTCAGAATAAAAGCTCAGCGGAAGAGAAAGAAAAGTTGGGCCGGAACTGATCGTCGCTCTGTCTGTTAGTCTACTAGTATTCAACAGCAAAAAGCAGGTGATATTTATGAGAGTCAAGTCATTTATGTACTATCAAGCACGATGACCTATGTAGATGTGGTATTACAAAAACATTGAATCTGTTGGTGCTTGAATTGATTGAAACTCAATTCCTCTCGAGAAACTGAAACTCAATAAAAAGTTTGGCCGGTATGACCTGCGCCGACCTACGGATTTCAAACTAGTCCTTTGAAATGCATAGGTCAGCACATGTGCTTGTGCTTGAAAGTGATCTGAGTATGTGTTGAAATGCCATAAAACATTCCGTGAAATGTCAGGTTCATGAAAAGGCGCCCCAATACGTGTTCGAATCCGAATGCGGGGTGTTGCCAACTTCATGGACATCTTTATGTCCAGAGGTCGCCCAGCATGTGTTTCACCTCAAATTTTTGTCAGCACCATTGCCCAGTTTTATCGTGCACCAGATGGCTTCTGCTTCGTTGAGAGTGTGTCGTAAGGGTTCCTAATTTTATCAGAGCGCGGCGATAAATTGCCAAAAGCCAATTCTTTGGTGACGGCCTATGGTGTGATAATGGCGCGAGGGAAATTTATTTTGCATTCAGGACGGCCGTGGGGCAAGTAACGACAGAGGTAAATCATTACACAGATGTGCGGTCGGCAGCCTCCGCCCTTGACCAGCATAGACAAGGCCGTATCGCACCGTCCCACAGTGTCGGCCCGGTCCTCCTGTCGAATTTCGTGCCGCCGCTGCTAGTATCTGCTACACGCTGTCGTTAATGGTATCTGCTAAACGCTGCCGCTTATGGTATCTGCTATAAGCTGCCGTTGATGGCATCTGCTACACGCTGCCGCTGATGGTATCTGCTACACGCTGCCTCTAATGGTATCTGCTACACGCTGCCGCTGATGGTATCTGCTACACGCTGCCGCTAATGGTATCTGCTACACGCTGCCGCTGATTGTATCTGCTACACGCTGCCGCTGATGGTATCTGCTACACGCTGCCTCTAATGGTATCTGCTACACGCTGCCGCTAATGATATCTGCTACACGCTGCCGCTGATGGTATCTGCTACACGCTGCCGCTAATGGTATCTGCTACACGCTGCCGCTAATGGTATCTGCTACACGCTGCCGCTAATTGTATCTGCTACACGCTGTCGCTAATGGTATCTGCTACACGCTGCCGCTAATGGTTTCTGCTACACGCTGCCGTTAATGGTATCTGCTACACGCTGCCGGCGATGGCATCTCCTATACGTTGCCGGCGATGGCATCTGCTACGCGCTCATTTACTGCGCACGGACAAAAGGCCAGTGCTGGCATTCTGACACCTACGCTGTGTTCATCCAACGACGCATGCAGCCTATGACGAGTTAATCGGCGCAGTCGGATTTCCAGGTGCGGGAATTATCTCACTTTTCCGGGACACACAACGCCGTGCGTGTAATTACCGACGAAAATGGTGTCGTGTATTGTTTAACAACCGTTGGTGATTTAGGTGTCTGACCCAACAGTCTATAGATGACTGCCATGAGACAACGCGATTTAGCCATCAGGCCACCGAAGGCAAAGCAATGTTGGGTTATTTTACCGCTGCGAAACGAAACACAATGGAAGTTTCCGAAAGGACGACGAGATCAGTGGTGTGGAACGTTCAATTTGTTCGTTCAATATTGACCATCCTGTTAGGAGCGTCCGAGAACACACCAAATGCACAACTTAACCATCCCTGCGCAGGCCGGGCTTGACACAATGAAACCTTTCGGTACGCGTCTGCCACTGCCGCACTCAGAGTGGATTAGATCCATCGCTGCAAAAAGGAATCCAATTTCACCCCGCCGGGACAGCGCTGTAGGCAGGCCGACCCGCCGTCGCGACGCATCCGCACGCAGCAGGACCAAGGCCGCTGCCTCCTCGCAAGACCAGTAAGCCGTCGTTTCATCGACAATCGATGAGCTCAATTCATGCGGATCAAACGGAGTGCTGCATTTTTCGCCAAGTTGGCCTCAAGACGGTCGCCTGGCGGCAGCCCCAGGCGGATCGCCACGCTATTTCGCCGCCGTCTTCAGAAGACAACCGCAGAAAAACAGGCCTCGTCGCTCACCTACAAACATCGCCGGAAAATCAATGACGGGACCTGTCAGCGTGGCTGTGCTGCGGACAAAACTTGGGACCGAGTTACAAAAACAGCAGCGCGGTCTGAACCGACATGACCGGCGCTTCGAGACAGCGTTTTGCTGCTGGCGCCAGCCTGCAGGCTTAAGTTGATCTCGGCGTCACTGACCAGCGTCCCGATGCTGGCGCCGGCCCCCAGGCTTGAGATGACCTCGGCGTCACTGGCCAGCGTCCCGCCGCTGGCGCCAGCTTGCAAGCTTGAGATGACCTCGGCGTCACTGACCACCGTCCCGCTGCTGGCGCCAGCTTGCAGGCTTGAGATGACCTCGGCGTCACTGACCAGCGTCCCGCTGTTGGCGCCAGCTTGCAGGCTTGAGATGACCTCGGCGTCACCGGCCAGCGTCCCGCTGCTGGCGCCAGCTTGCAGGCTTGAGAGGACCTCAGCGTCACTGACCACCGTCCCGCTGCTGGCGCGAGCTTGCAGGCTTGAGAGGACCTCGGCGTCACTGGCCAGCGTCCCGCTGCTGGCGCAGCCAGCAGGTTTGAGATGACCTCGGCGTCACTGACCAGCGGCAGACGCGTCACTTAACGACGAGCCGTGGACACTACGTCACCTCAGGCGTGGTGTTCTCTGCCTCTGATAATACGCGTGATATAATAAGTAATGCGCTTGATATGCGTGTCACCAGCACATGACGCGGCCACACGGTGTTTAGTGCCTTTCTGTCGTGCGTGGTGCGCAGGGCAAGTAGCCAGCTTGAAGTATTTTGAAACGGACGCATTGCTCTACCAACGTGAACGTGAACACACGAGAGGGCGAGCTGATGACTTTGACTCACGCTGCTTAGATGCCATCCCGACGGTGGACAAATGACGTCAAGTGCATTGTCAAGTCTTAGCTAGGACAAGCACCACTGGCATTTGTGAACATTCAGTCGGGGAGTCTGGAAGCATTATATATATATATATATATATATATATATATATATATATATATAGGTATATAGGTATATGGAGGCATTAGGTTGGCTCACAATTCTCTGATCTTTTAACCTCTATGACGTGAGCACTTTTAGGATTGAGCTAATCTTTGGAATACTTTACTGAGTGAACTCGTCCTGGTGTAAAGCCACGAGCTGGGAGGCTGTCCTGGTGCCGAGTGTCGATCTGGGAACGTCCTCTCATTTCCAGTTTCCACAAGTAAGGTAAGAATCGGAACATTTTTTTCGTTTTATGGTTGCTACTTACAAGCTTAAGGTAAAGCCAACGTTACGACGTGCATTTCACAAAGATGTACGCAGAGTCTTTTCCTGTATTGGTCTTTTAAAAATTGGCTTTTAGGGAAACCAGTAGATGATGAATTCAATAAAGCTCAATGCTAGGCATTGCCAATGTCGTGACATTTGTGCCATTGCTGAGCATTATCGTGCCAACAAAAAGCTCGTAGTCATTACAAAAGTGGCACTTAGCTTTGCATTCTTTGTGGTTGATTCGCTGCACGTCGCTCCACATACCATCTAATGACACCGCTTGGCTGAGCACCAATTGTTCGGTCGCTTGGCCGTTTTGATCGACGACATACGCTGCGCATACGCTGATCGTGCAAAACCTCAGTTGGACCTCAATTTCCCGGTTCTCCTATAATTTTCCTCCACCATGATTATACCACGAATCCCATACATTTTACGCAAAATATCATAGATAACTTCATAAAGAGTGGTTAGCAAAATGCACCAGCGAAACACGTCGCCTCCTTATGCTCTTTATTAAGCGTGGCATGCACGATCGATGAAGAGTGAACACGAAAGCGCGGATGAAGACAGACAAAATTGCAAGCGAGTTCGTTCATCTAACCCTGGCCAGGCTATTCCGCATCAGTCATGAACTGATGCGGAATAGTCATGAACATCTGCTGATCGTCAGGCCATGTCCACCAGTCAGTGACAGAAGATATATGCGACAGAGTTTCAGCATCCTCTATCTAAAATGAGATCATTACACTGGTACAAAATGATGGCATTGGCGTTTGACCGTCCATCAAACGCTACCACATGGTAGGACACAATCAAGATCCTTCGCGCCCACTGGCAATGAAACGGTCATGATTTATAGTAGTCACGTCTGCTCCTAAGAGGGCATCCTTCAAAACGGACGCAAGCGACGGCACAGTTTTTCAAGAAGAGAAGAGCGCAGTCCATAACACTTACCAATTAAAAAGATAAGGCTGGACATTGGAGGGCTCTTCTGTCAAATCTCCTCACCTCTGGAGAAATTAGTCGTGGCGTTGGACAGTCAAGGGGCTGATGCAAGTCCGGCTGCTGACATAGCATCCACCACGCGGGCGGCGTGAGGTCAGACGGTGGCAGTACAGCCTCTGACGGCGTGCCAGCCCCAGCCGGCCGGCTCTCGCGGCCAGCGCCGGCCACGGGGAGCGGTGTTGGTGCCGCGACTGGACGGACGCGGCGGCGCCTCGGCCTCGCACTGGTCGCTGGTGGGACCCGGTAGTGCCGGCCTGTTTAGGCACTCCATTGCGTGGTACAGCATCGCCAGATCGTCCTGCACGGCGAGGTCCGTCGTGAGTCATGGGTATTGGATGGGCAAGGCCATCGGAGACGGTGAGAGGATGGGGTGGACAAGACCACTGCAGACGGCGAGAGATGACATGCGATCGGGAAAAAATGTTTGAATTCGGATTGGAAACGTTTTCAGCGTTGATTTAGGTTTAAGTGGAAGCAACTGCTTTCTGCGAAGGAATATCATGCTGCATTTGGCCTTATATATACATATATATATATATATATATATATATATATATATATATATATATATATATATATATATAGCAGACTGTTATATATGTAAATACATGTACATATATATATATATATATATATATATATATATATATATATATATAGCAGACTGTTATATATGTAAATACATGTACATATATATATATATATATATATATATATATATATATATATATATATATGTATATACATAGAATGCTCTCACCTATGCTTTCTCACATGCATGCTTGCATGTGAATGCATTTGTGTGGCATCATTCTCGGGTACATCATCATTTCATAGCGGTAAGTGTTGGCTCGCGTGCACGAAAGACCACAAGCTATATGAATTATCTTGCCCAATAAATGACAAATAAATGGAAACCGGCGACCAGTCGAAGATAACAAAGCAAGCAATTAGTCTCGCGTTACCCGTAACTCGCCTGCATCTCGACAAATGGGGCCTCTTTCACCAAATCCGGACGCCAAAGCTAGTTCCATGTCCCATGCATCCCATGCTTTATTATTCAGGCCATTACTATGCCCTTAGTTATCACAATCATTACTTTTTTACTCACACGCTATTGTCATACATTGCGGTCATTGTTGCTCAGCCATTACTGGCCTTCTCGCCATATTGTCACCCAATGCGGGTCATTTGTCTTCTTATCGAAAACTCCCACGCCTATCACAGGCTATTCATGAAGCCCAGGGACGCAGTTCTTGTACAGGCGGGAGCGGACGCTGGAAAGCCCAGTTCCCCAAAATATGCACCCAGACACATCAGCATTGAATGTGACGCAAGCAAAATCCCGGAGGAGCGCATCTTGTTGGCAGGGCTGACCATGTGCCCCACTCGCTTAACGTCATAAATCATGTTCAGCTATGTCTGTCAGGGAGCTCGTGACCAATGCGTCGTTAACGTCTCATGCTGAAGCATGCATTAACATTCAGTACACGGTCAGACAGCTTCCATCATTCTTGAGCTGCATGTGCTTACACAAAAGGTGAAGTACAGAACGCGTTCCACCGAATATATATGTACACGCACACACGCACGCACGCACGCACGCACGCACGCACGCATGCCCGCGCGCGCGCGCGCACACACACACACACACACACACACACACACACACACACACACACACACACACACACACACACACACACACACACACACACACACACACATATGTATATATATATATATATATATATATATATATATATATATATATATATATACATAGGCATACAGCCAACAGTGGGTACACAGATTAGCACCGATGACCATCTGCACCGGTGGCGAGCACGCACCGGTGTCTGCCAGACTCCTGGGCGTCTCATGTGGCACATCTTGGCGTACATGTAGACATCCACGGCGTTCTCGCTGGCCAGCTGTTTGGCCAGTGTGGTAAGGCAGCAGAACATGGCCGCCTCCGTTCCGCCAAACCTGACGCCGCACGCAGCACACCCTCCGTCAGCGCCGATCGACACGGAACGCGCGGCGGATCTCAACTTGACCTCTCATGACCTGGAGCCTCGCTTGCTGTCCCAGACTAGGCACTGAACTGGGTACATGAATGACTCACAGAAAAAGTTGATTCCAAAACCGACACCATGAAAACTGCATCGCAAGTATGGAGGGAAGAGAACGGATAACAAGGATAAGTGGATAGATCCATAAATGCACGCGAGGCACCATATATGTCTCGCAATTCCAGGATACCTTTGAACCATGAACTGTGCTTTACCACCTACATCACCGCTAGGGATAAATCCCCGCCACACGCAAACCACCCTCACAGAACGACGACGTTCACAGACCGACGACATCACAGACCGACGACGTGTTTATTTGCGACATCCTTCCACCACTAACCTGTCAACCACCACCACCGGCTCGGCCTGGCGCCGGACGGCGGGCCGCAGGAGGGCCCGCACCAGGCGGAGGGGCGAGCCCACCTCGCCCCCGGGCCACTCGGGGCTCGCGACCAGCCGTACCGCCGCCTGGCGGCCGCCGCGGTCCGACCGCAGCGCCAGCTCCAGCGGCGCGAGCGCCGGCGCCGACTGCGGCGGTGACAGGGGCTCCGCCAGCTGCACCCGGAAGAGGTCGCCGACGGCGTCGTCACCCGACACCGGCCAGAACCGCGGGTAGTGCTGGCGGGTGTAGGGGAGCTGAGATCACCGCCAGCGTCACAGGGTGAGAAGGGGGTCCAGAGGTGTTGGTGCAAAGCCGGAGGAGGGGAACAGCGTTGAGGTTCAAAAAGAGTGGTGTGGTTTGAACCGGAGTTAGAACCATGGTGTCCACAAGCGAAACTGATAATTGCAGCGGGAAGGAGGCCCTTCACAGGGTATCCGGAGCGGGTGGGTGTCGTGGAGGGGTGGGGGGCGCCTAAGGTGGCCCGATAGTGTTAGGTGAGTGATATTGCTCTCGCAGATCACAGAAGTCACCAGGAGGACATCGTGTGAAATGCTACGATTCCTTAACGATGCTGCAATCGAAATCACGTAGCATCAATCCTGCCTGCCTATTCTAACTGGCGGGCGTCATCTCTTCCTCCCACTTTTCATATGACGTCACCATTCAACCATCCTTTCCACCTCTACCGGTTTACATCTTCTCACTATATTTAGGATACCAGCTACATTTATACAGCAATGCCACTCTTGTTTTCCGTTAAATACAACTGTTCAGTATGAATGAGACGAATATCGCGTCCAGATCTGCAGGGGCGATGTCACACTTCTGTTCCCTAAGATCAAAGGGAAAAGTTTGACCCATTCTGATGAGTGTCCACCACTTTGCGAAAGGCAGGGTCTCCGAAGCATGTGATTAGTCCTACTCCAAGAGTTGGTTCTCAGATTCGATCGTACCTGCTCGTCAATTGGAGAGAGGACGACCACGGTTTGCACGCTGTGCTCCCACACCATCCGCCAGAAGTCATCCACCGTGTGCGCCAGCGGATGCTGGGTGATGATGAACTCGCAAGGCCTGTCGTAACCTGCGCAACATCAGTCAGACAACGTTAGTCTAAAACGCAGGGAACAGAACATGCGGCAAATAATATGACATGTCGGAAAGGCAAAAATAATTCAATCGCTGTGAAATATTAGGAACCTAATCAGCATGAAAGCGTACAGTTTATTTCTGAATATGCAGCACCGATCCAGGGCTCCAAAGCGGTCTCGCTTGAGGTTGCCGAGTCGCCTGCCCTACCCGTGTCTGTCCGATGTCAGACGTACCTGTCAGAGGAGTGGCGTTGATATAGTCGCTGCCCTCGACCCCTTGCAGGAGCGAGAGGTTCACCCGCCACCGGTCCAGAGGCAGAAACAGGCCGCTGCGATTCCTCGCCTGGTTCTGCCTGGCTGACGTCATCTCGTCCGCCGACGGCCGGTATGACGTCACCAGCTGCTCGGCACGGAGAACAAGCACGTCTGTGCGGCGTGCCACCGGAGCGGCCGCGCAGACTCAGACTTACAGAGAACTGATGGCCATCGGACTGACCACAGCGGTGATAGCAAGCCAAGCCTGACAGAGCGCCTCAGCAGCACCGCCGGCACCCCCGGCTGGGTGACGCTGTTAACTCACGGGGGTCGGTCAGCACCGGCCGGCCTGACGGCACGCACCTAGCACCCGTGCGGCGGAGGCCACTGACCTGATACTGGCGGTCGAGCGTGAGGCCGGGGTGGTGGCCCGGGTCGCAGGAGCGTAGCCGGTGTAGGCACTCGCCGAGCCGCGAGGCCGGCACGTCAGTCTCTCCCGCTTCCAGCGCCTCCAGCAGCGCGTCATGCACGAACACGTACTGCTCCTCCGTCGGCACCACGGAGCCGCGCTGCGTGCCGATGTGCTTCAGGAAGCCGAACACGTTGACTGCGCTCCGGAGCCTCAGCATGCTCATCATGGCGTCCAGCACCACGTAGACGCCGGTCCGATCCGCACCGGCTCTGCCGAGAAATGAGCAAACACGGCGCTGCGTTGCCGGTCCGAGGCATAATTGTACTGGCGAGACATGAACAAACAAGGGATTATGGTACTGGTCCAACCCACACCGGGACTGTCGAAGCACGAACGAAAAAAAGGATCGGTGGTGCGGTCCGACTTCCATGTGGACTACCACCGGGACACTTGCATACTTGAGGCTGTGGTGGCGGTCCGGGCCCCACCTGTGCTACTGGAATACCAACATACCAGATGTGGTGGCGGTCCAAGTTCCACCTGTGCTACCGGGATACTAGCATACCAGATGCTGTGGTGGTGGTCCACGCCCCACCTATGCAACCGAGTCACTAGCATACCAGATGCTGTGATGTCGGTCCGAGCCCCACCTGTGCTACCGGACGCAAGCGTGCCAGACGCTCTGGTGTTGGTGCGATCTCTAATTCCGCGCTCCAGCTGGCCATGGCCTCGGGCGAAGCGATTTACACGCCTTTTGTGTTCTTGCAAGCCGTCCATTGCCTTCGAACAGGCCCACTAGACATCGCATAATCGTACCTGTTGCAAGCCGGCCATTCATGCAGCTTACAGTAGACGGCTTTGGGTAAGTTCAAACATTTTTGCAACATGCAAGAGCATCATGATCTGACTTGATTCCACAAACAATGTTGTGCAGGGAATCTTGTCTGGAGCACAAATCTAGCAAAGAACTACGTTCAGCTCGCAGATATTACAGCTAAGGCTTAGCCGATTGGAAAGCCGCTGAGGGACAGCAGGACAACGCCAGAGGATTGGCTGTCTAGCCGATCATTCTGAGACTATCGGTAGATGTTCATGACATCTGATCCCGTCAGGCCTTAGCCTCAGGATGATGGGTTGTGTCTCGCCAAGCTGCACGTTCCGGACACCTGGGTCCGCGTCCGCTGCACGTTCCGGACACCTGGGTCCGCGTCCGCTGCACGTTCCGGACACCTGGGTCCGCGTCCGCTGCACGTCAGGGACACCTGGGTCCGCGTCCGCTGCACGTTCCGGACACCTGGGTCCGCGTCCGCTGCACGTCAGGGACACCTGGGTCCGCGTCCGCTGTACATTCCGGACACCTGGGTCCGCGTCCGCTGCACGTTCCGGACACCTGGGTCCGCGTCCGCTGTACATTACGGGACACCTGGGTCCGTGTCCGCTGTACATTCCGGACACCTGGGTCCGCGTCCGCTGCACGTCAGGGACACCTGGGTCCGCGTCCGCTGCACGTCCGGGACACCTGGGTCCGCGTCTGCTGCACGTCCGGGACACCTGGGTCCGCGTCCGCTGCACGTTTCGGACATCTGGGTCCGCGTTCGGGACACCTGAGTCCGCGTCCGCTGCACATCCGGGACACCTGGGTCCGCGACTGGTGTCGCTCGGGATCGAGGTTTACGTGAGCAACGCAGCCAGCTTGGCTCAGTTCAAAACCGGGAGTCTTGTTGCCAGGAGTAGGGTCACTGACGGAGACTGTGGTCTCTTTTCCACCCGGAAATTGAGCGAGGGTGAACTGGGATTAGCCGCAGAGTTCCACCTCTTCGACAAGAGGTTCATGTTTTGAACATTGGGTATGACGGCCCAAAAGAAGGGCCCTGGTGTGGGAAGCTATGTGAGGACTGAGAAGCCACTAATTGAGCAGTGACTGACACTGAGTGACACTGAGTGACACTGAGTGAAACTGAGTGACACTGAGAAGACTCCCATGACGAACTGCACGCGTTATTGTGCATAATAACGAAAGAATGGAGTGCAGTGCATCCTCCTGCAATACCGCTCCCACTGCTGAAGTGGGAGACTGCGGGATATCAGAGCCCACGCCCAGGGCCACGGTCTTCTATATAACACGCTATGCCACCCGCAATAACTGTTGCTGTTTATGTTGCATGACCTAGTGGGTCGTGGTCGTGAGTCGTGACCTCACAGCAAGCGAGGTCACAACTATTCAAGAGCGCCACACATCAAATGCGCCAGGAACGCTCCCGTTTTGGAATGTATGTGTGTAAGCACAGCACAGCACGGCACAGCATAGCACAGCACGGTACAAATAGCAAACAACTGAAGGAGGCCGACGGCGATGCAGGCAAGCGGATGCAGGATGCAGGCATGTTTGCTGTATCAGCACACGGAAGCGATGCAGGCAAGCGTAAAAATTAATCGGTGTGTGCAAACAGCCAGCGGCTGCGGCTGACCCAAGTAAGCGGTCCGAGGCGCTAAAAGGACTGAGTGGCTTTGACTTAAAGTGCCTGAACCGAGCTATGGACTGCAGCACGCAAGCAGAGTTTATCACTGAGAGTGCAAAGTTACGAGAGCCAACAAAATGCACCATTTCTACCCCCCCCCCCCCCCCTCCCCGAGGTGACGGATAATAATTGTGCAGATCACCTATGCTTTCTAAGCTGACAACCACACACTCAGCTCTACAGACAGAAAGAATATGCTGAGTATCATCTGCTGACACACTCTTCTTCCCCAGTAGACAGCTGATTTCAAAAGTATAAGGGCGAGTTCGAATTTCCTGCGCAAGCTGCTTCTGCTCTCGATCGCGCCCAATTTCTTTGAGTTGAATCTGAACGACGCTGATCTCTGGCTAGTGATCAGAATACAGCGACGCACAGTCAGTGGTGTAATTTCCGTAAAGCTTCCGTGATAACATACGCGTCCTTCTCCACTGCTGAGTGCCTCTCTTCGCTCGCATTAAACGTTCTGGAGGAGGCCACGGGACGACGAGCCTGATTTAGAGTCGCAGTCGTTGTTGTGTGTGTTGTATCAGTCCGAACTGCAAATGACATGCTTTCCTGGATGAGAAGCACTAGCACATTGCAGGCCTATTAAGGGGTCTGAAAGCCTGCTCAGTAATTTCAGATAAGAAAAATGATGTGACACGAAGTTTTCACACGTAGTTGGGAATCTACAAGTAGAAGTACTAGTAATACGAGGACATCCCCAGAGTCAGACGTAGCCAGCCCATGTTTTCGGGAAGACGGCACGCCTGGAAAAAACCGCGTCACTGGCAACAAACTTGGTGTCACCACTGAATACAGCATAGCCCGGGATGCTCATCCAATCCACCGAGAAAGAGCACTTGGAGTTGAGCGTTAAGCCCGACTTCTTGGCAGCCTCGGAGAACTTGGTGAGGTTGGCGTGCTGCTCTGCCGTGCTTTGACCACAGACGGTGGTTTGTTCCGGTAGCCAAGTGTATCAGAGACCCTGTTGCCTGCGCCCTGTGGCGAACCGACTCATTATGCGTTGTCCATTCGTGACACCGACTGCACGTTTTTCGTACGTGATACAGCAGCTGTTTGCATTCCTGGAAGGCCGTGAAGGAATTGCCCTAATGCCGGACCAGAAACCAATAATAGGCAGATTAGAGGTCAACGACACCGACCAGGTGTCGTGCCGCATGACCGACTAACATACTGCGCTTTGAGCAGTGATATCTAACAGGCCTCGTCGAGTGGCTGATGGCCTGAGAGTAGTCTTTGTGGAGTGGGTGATGGCCTGAGAGTAGTATTTGTGGAGTGGGTGATGGTCTGAGAGTAGTATTTGTGGAGTGGGTCATGGTCTAAAAGTAGTCTTTGTGGAGTGGGTGATGGTCTGAGAGTAGTCTTAGTGGAATGGTTAACGGCCTCAGATCCGTCTCACCACACGCCCTTCATGTCGTTCATTTGTGGTGCCCATCGAATGAGTTGGCCGGGGAGAAATGCTGGGCTTGAGGATGTCGCCACCCAGCAGTTGTCTCGCTTTGTTGTACAGGACCTCCCTGTCAGAGGCGCAGACAGTTCGACTTGGAAGCGAAGAGCGGAACAGGATCGCTGGGTTTGTAGTTAGTGATGGTAAAAGAGTAGACGGGGTAGTTAGTCCATAGCCAGACAGCCAGCTAGCGACCCCCCACGTCGACCGTAAGACCGACCTGCTGTATCATGAATCATGCATCATAATGACATCGTTGTACAGTTCAGGCCGGATACCGATTCTTACATCAGGACAGAACATATGGAACATCATATATGGAACATCAGAACAGGACATATGCAGAACATATCTAAGAATTAGAATGCGCAAAAATATGGGTACATGCAAGCGATTTCAAGCAAACAGGCATCCCGCAACACGCATCAATTGTGCATGCAAACGTTTTTAATTTAACAGGCATCGCGGATCACCTTTAAACATCACTCATACACGTAAACGACTTTAAGCTGGCGCACATCACACATCAACACATCGAGGTGCTTATCACGTCAGCATAATCGGTCATGATGAGCCCTGTACGTTAATGCCTGGTCACCGACCTCTTATAAGAATGTATTCACTTACTGTCTGGATGGCCGTGTGCTCTGTCGTTTACTTTTAGGTCTAAAAGGGACGTAGGGTCCATACCTTCCTGGATTTCAGCGCGAGCGCGTTTTGCCATAAAATGGTTACCGAAGTGGATATTCCCAGCTTTGTTTTTAGCTTCTCACCAGGTGTTCATTATGTTCTAAACATGTAGGGTGTATGGACTCCCTGACATGGACCAAGTCCCTTCCACGTTTCTCTCACAGTTTACACTTGATGTCGTAAACTATGTTTTGCGTGCAAGCCCCTTCAAACCCAGACTTGCATAAAAAACATCTATGGTCCCGCGGGCACTTGGGCTTCGAGACAGATTTCATTAGGGACTTTTTAGCTTATTGTCCTTTTTCCAAGCCATCTGTACGCGCAGTTCTGCTTGCCTAACGATTTGTTTGATTTTCAAAGCGAGTGCTCACCCGTGCAAAGCACTGTCAAGAACCCATCGTTTAACAGGACATGTTCTCGCCTCCTACCACTCATCCACCATGCGTTTTATATTGATTACCTCTTCCAACATTTTACTTAAAAGTCGCGGAGAATATCCATTGCCCACAGCAAAGTCCGTATTTGGTTCATGCTCTATCTTTCCTTTTCACTGCTCAATAAATTATTTAGAGCCCTATGGAAGCCACGAATTATATTACGTTTAGTGGCA